TTTTTTATTTTGCTGTTGGGGCTGCCACTGTTGCAGATTTTCTTGCAACTGCTGTTGTCTCTCTTCTTGTTTCTTTTCTTTTTCCTTCAACAACTGCTGTAATCTTTCTTCTTTTTTATTTTGCTGTTGGGGCTGCCACTGTTGCAGATTTTCTTGCAACTGCTGTTGTCTCTCTTCTTGTTTCTTTTCTTTTTCCTCCAACAACTGCTGTTTTCTCGGTCTTCTTGTTTCTTTTCTTTTTCTCCAACAACTGCTGTAATCTTTCTTCTTGTTTATTTTGCTGTTTGAGCTGCCACTGTTGCAGATTTTCTTGCAACTGCTGTTGTCTCTCTTCTTGTTTCTTTTCTTTTTCCTCCAACAACTGCTGTAATTTCTCTTCTTGTTTTTTTTTGTTGTTCAAGCTGCCACTGTTGCATGTTTTCTTGCAACTGATGTTGTCTCTCTTCTTGTTTCTTTTCTTTTTCGTCAAACAACTGCTGTAATCTCTCTTCTTGTTTCTTTTCTTTTTCCTCCAACAACTGCTGTAATCTCTCTTCTTGTTTCTTTTCTCGTTCTTCTTGTTTCTTTTCTTGTTTATTTCCTGTTCTTGTATTGCTGCCATCAAATCTGCTAAGCTGTAGTTTGATTTGCCGCTTCTCGTTTCCATTTTTTAATTTTTTTCCATCCCACTTCTGACACCAATTTGTTACGTCTGCGTGTTTAAGGGCTAACAAAATGGCAAAACATATATAAAAATTACTCTAGAATTAAATTGTTAATGAATTACTATCATTTCAACACTAGATTATTAATGAATAACTTAGATTTTTGATGAGGTACTGCTATCTCAGTAAAGGATTGTTGACGAGGTACAGTTACTTCAGCACTGGATTTTAACTCATGAATCATTACGTATTAAGGCCAAAGTTGAAATTTGGGTCGGCAGTAATCAAGTGAATATTTCAACTAACGTTGTTTTAAGCTATTTAGAATTTAAATGGACTGTAGTAAGACATTTCACTGCAGGATAATATGTTGAAAAATAAGAAATTTTCTCAATACAACCAGTTATAGAGAATCAATAATCAATATGGAAGTCTTGGAATGACTCACCTCAGCTAATTGTATTCTATATAGAATTTATATGGAATCACAAGTAAATATTAATTCTTAAGTACGGATCACTGTCTACCGACATACTACAGATAAAAGAAGCAGTTACAGAGATTAGTATTACACTGTCTTAGGACTGAAATACACAAGCTACAAAACAGCTTAACCTAAAGTACAGAATATTTTAGTTTCTAATACATAAAGTACCTTATGACAGCAATACATAAGGTAGAAAACATCTAATGACAGTGATTATTATGTAATCAGCAAATGTCTGGATACTTTCACTAACAAAATGGTTAGTAATGTAAAAGAAAGATAATAAATAATTATATAAATCAAATAATAAAACACATAATAAATATTAACATAGTTGTTGTCTTATTAATAGTAAAGTGACTTGTCAGTCCTTATGATTCACACCTAATATTGTCCTGATTATTAAATTAACATGGCTAGTTTGTATAGTTGTATTGTAAAGATGCTGGTAACATATATAGTTAAGTAGTTTTATCCGTTTGGTAAATTTCAAACCACACAATTCAAAACAGAAACATTTTTTTGCCAATTTTACCCGATCAGGGAGACGCCTCTAGCCTCACTGTGTATTCTTATATCTTAATTTTTGTTTTCCTCAAATTACCGTTTTTTTCTATCGTCACTCTAGATACACGAACAAGAAGAAGATCTGGTGGTAATTTGGTTAAATCTGACGGAAGGTTGTAAATGACATTAGAATAAAAATGTCTTTAATATTAAACATTTCAAACAGTTTGGATTATAAAAATTTTTCAACTAATTCTTTTTGAAATGATAATTTTAAAGAGTTGTATTCGACAAAATTCTAATAAAATAATAAATTATATTACAAAGTAAACTTTGATTACCTGCGTCACCAGAGTAATTACTGACATGTAATCTATACACGTTGTCTTCGTTTTCTATCCAAAACTTCCGGTAGATGGCGAACCTCTCGTTTCCTTCTTTGTCTTTTAAATCAAACCTGATTGAATAGTTTCCTTGATTTGTTAGCGCGTAGATCCGATCGTTTCCTACAAATTAAAAATGAAACATTTTGAGAAAATCATTAAGAAAGACTTGTTGATTATTCAAGTAAAAAGAAACTCCATTGTTGGAGCGGAAAGGTGTTATTAACTTTCTTATTTTGTTTATCCAAGTTTGATAATGAGGAAACCACTTTCAGAAAGTATAGTTTGGAGTGGTTTGAATTGGTAATAAAATAATCTATATTACTAAAGTACAATGTTTTTTGTCATCAGGTAAGAGTACTGGTCGAATAAGAGCCTAACGCAGCCAAAACTCCTCCTGTAACTTTAAAACCATCTGTTTAAAAACTGTAAACAGAACCTACTTATACAGATCTGCTGTATGTTTAACACCATCTGTTAAAACCCTAATCAGAACTTACCTAGCCAGAATTCCTTTTGAATGTCTCCAAATCCTACTTTGTAATCTTCCCAAGGTTTGAAAAAGTAATCCTTTGGGTTTCCGTGGTTTCCTCTTCTTTGGATTACCTTAGAAACAAAAACGGAGAACTTGTAAGTTTACTGTAATAATCAAACTTACTATATATGTTTTTACATATAATAGTTTTATATGATATTATCTATAATGAACGTTACTTACCGTCCAGCCTCCTCCATCAGTATCCATGTCACAGTAAACATTGAAACTTCCTGTAGTCATCCATGACTTGGGCCAGATACGATACGATCCACTGGTAGTGTGTCCATTAAGCAGAACATCAGCACAGTCTGTTGGTCCAGGTGATGAAAGAGGACATGTGTGGTCAGTTTGTTGATAGATTAGATGTTTATCTAAAATATAAAGATATAATCTTTACGTTATTGAACCGAGGCTCAACATATATAAATATATGGACGAAGAACTTGTTAGTTTATTTGTTATCAAGAGATACTGATGTATATGGATTTGGTATTTGGTTGAAACTTTGAAGACAAGTGTGACGTAGTTTGTAGTTCTGTTGTTTCTTTAATCCATAATAATCATTCCTAAAGTTGATATGTATATCAGTATACTTAGTTTAATTGGTATGATATGTACTATACGGTTGGTATAGTTGGTATTATGCGGCTGATGCTACAGAAAATATTACAAGCACAATGGAAACCAATTTAGTTATTGTTTATTTCAGAGTAAAATGTTATAGATTATATTATTATTAAAATAAATAACTTTGTAATCTCTTCTGCTCCACCCTTTATATATTTAAATACATAGACTAAAATTAAAATATATTTTATCTGTCTGTTAATCGTTTATCGTGTAAATAATTTTCCACAGTTTTATTTACATTTTTATATAATAAAAAGGAAATAAACTAAGTAATAATTTCATAAATTATCAATAATAACGTTTCATTTGAAACTGTAAATACGAACTTCGTTTGTCTGATGAGACGAGAAAAAGAACTAAACAAAAATAATTAGTGTTATGCTAACCAAAGCCTCCCCCCAAACACACACACAAACTAAGCTGAATGGCTGATGACTTACAGCGCTACAAAACGGGTTTCCATACTCGTTGTGGGTACAGAACAGAGAAACACTTGTGTAGCTTTGTGTTTAACTACAAACAAACCAACAAGTTAACTAAAGAACTTTAAATAATGGACTATAAAATTCAATATATTAAACAATACTTTTATTTAACAGGTAAAGTGAAAAACAATTCACGTTTTTAACAATATTAAACATATTACCATATTAAACAATACCGTCATTCAACAACAATAATAACATAAATAATTTGGACCAGATGATTTCTGTGAAAAATTGCTCTACAAAAGATCATGAAACATCTGTTGAATAAACTTAATTATAAATTAATTAATACAAATTGTTTTCACTTTTAAATAGACTTTCTGAGAACTTTTACCTCTGGTTTTCAGGTATTCTTTGGCCAGAGAAACTAGGACATCGATGGACGCAACTATTCCGGTTATTGACGTCTCTTCACAGTGTTTCTGGACGGTTTCTGATCCAAGACTTGGACAAGTCCAGAAAACAAGCCAAATAAAGACGAATTGTATCATTGTTAAAGACTTCTTTTTTTCCTTCTTACTGTAAAGTAAAGAATATTGTAAAAGCTTGTCTCTGACAGGCCTAATACAGAACAGTTTACGAAACATAAAAACAAAATTAGTGAACGAACCGGCATTTAAAACAAACAGAGTGTCTGTGCTAGTTAAATTTAGTTTAAGTTAAGGTATAAACCAAAGATGAGTTATTTAAATATACAGAACTGAAACAACTTCATTGTTTTATATAGACTGCAACAATAACAAGATAAATATTATCAAAACCCAGGAACTTAATGATTTTTTGTTATTTCACAGTGATCAATACTTATATAATGTAGAAAAGTATTACTAGAACAGGATTTAAACACACTATCTAAACTCTGACACTTTATTATACAACACATCTTGTTTTAATTATTTTAAAACTAAAAGATGTCATTTAATGATTCATAACTTCATTCATACAAAAGAAAAGTAAGATAATAAAAAGACTTAAAGTAATGAATATTATTAATCAGTTGTAAAAAGAATCAAAAATACCTTTCAAAATAACTTTTTGATTGGTCTCTACACCGTTAGAAATTCTTTCAAAATGTTATCAACGTGTGTGGGCGTTGTTTTAAAATATGATCTGAGTCAGTAATATGATGTACAACCAACGTCGTATCAATTTCGATCGTTTTAACTTGTTGTTTATCTTCTGGAGGTAATCACGTGATTCTTTTTCTATATCATGACAAGACTGAAAGTCCAGTGGTCAAACACGACAACTGCTAATGATATTTTCGAAACACTCTAAATTAAAACCAATGTGAAAAGTAATACACAGACCAACACATTTGATAAACCAGTAATTAAAACTTCTTCAGAGAGCTTAGTTTCTTGTTACATAACATTTCTCAAAATCTAAACTTCAAACCAACAATAAATATGATTTGAAATATTTGGAATACTTCTATTTCATTAAATATATCTATTCAAACAATGTTCTTTAAGTTTTTCTTTGTCTTATATGTATTCTTCAGTTGTTCTTCTAAAGTCTAAGGTTACAATTATTCAAGTGCGTTAGAACATCTTATCCACTTGTATTCTGATATTGTTAATTGTTTCCTTTCTATAGGACTCTTTAAATGTTTAAATATTGTTGCGTCAGCGAGGTCACGTGACTAGCATCACGCCACGTCCTTCTCGAACCTTCGTGAATTATCGGGAGACTACTAGAACGGGGGTAGTCTGGTATATATAAGATGGTCACAACGTGACGGGACAATGAGTAATTGAACTGCAGTCAGAGAGAATATTGTTGAGCACGTGAGAAGTTCGTTGAGAATTATAGCGTTTGTTAAAGAGCGACTGTTGAAATTAAGTGTATCGTAAAGTTGTATTCAGAAAGAATAAACCAGTTTTATTTAAGAAAGGACTTGTGTCGCTAAAGTTTCGTCGGAACGAATTTACGGAAAATTAACTAACGAAATTCCACACCATCAGCATAACTCTCGTGTTCACCGTTCAGGTAGAGTCCATTAAGATTGGAACCGTGACATTTGTTGTACCACCAAGCTCCTTTAAAGCTTTGGGCACAATTAGAACCATCAATATCATTATCTTTGTCCTTCGTGGTAAACCTGAACTCGTTGTGGCCGCCGAATGAGTCCCCTGTAAATATAAAACTATATAGTACATTTCGTGAAAAGTAACCTGACCATATCTGAGCTTATGATGTGTCCATCCTGCATAAACCCTGTATATCCACTCCCCATCCATCCTGTATCTCCATCCTTAATATATTACAAGGAAACTCAGCAAAGGTTAATGCAAAACCTACAGGAACATTTAAAATTCGTCTTACCGAGTATATCACGTGATCTTATTTCTATCTCCAGTTGTGGTATCTTGTAGTTACTGAGTCAATCATGAGATTTTATTTTCATATCTATTGGGTTACAGTATTGCGTGAGTCACGTGATATAATATAATCACGTATAGTAAAAGTAGACAACATTATTGATAACCTTATTGTGATATACGAATAAATTATTTTATTTATCAATATGTATGCGGAACTTTGAGTCAAGTGGATGTAAAAGACATGGAACACTTTAGACACCTACCGGTAACATTGTCTGTTATGAATTTTAGTATGTAAATACCTCTATATATTAAATTCACTTTCAAACGTATTGAGTCTTAAACTTGTATTTTCAAATGTCTTATGTTTTTTAATATTTTTTTAATTATTACCTTCACATTCACGTGACAAGTACCATTAAAATGAAATAATTTGTACAATTTCTTAGTCCGATCGTTACTGATAAGTTTTAATAAACTTGTTATTATGGAAAAACAGAAATAAAGTAGAACCATAGCTCTATGACGTATTTATTGCAGAAAACGCGGAAATACACCTGGTTATTGTTACTAATGTCTTACAGAGGAATTAGTATCAGGGGTCGTATCTTCATCTCCACATCTGGAAGGGAGTATTTCTGTCCTCTCCATGTGCTCCTTGTAGTTCATCTTAATGAGTCTTTCACGTGATCTTATTTGTATATCTACAGTCGTGGTATCGTGTAGTTCGTCTTACAGAGTCTATCACGTGATCTTATTCGTATATCTACAGTCGTGGTGTTTTGTAGCTACAGTCGTGGTATCTCTATCACGTGATCTTATTTGTATAAACTCTACAGTCGTGGTATCGTGTAGTTCGTCTTACAGAGTCTATCACGTGATCTTATTCGTATATCTACAGTCGTGGTGTTTTGTAGCTAGTCTTACAGAGTCTATCACGTGATCTTATTCGTATATCTACAGTCGTGGTGTTTTGT